AACCATCTGAGCCACCCAGGCACCCCACACATGTATAGGCTTAAAACAACATAAATTTATTAGCTCACAAACCTACCCCAGTATGTGTGAATATTGTGCTCAGGGTCTCCCTAAGCTAAAATCAAAACTTCAGCCAGGGCTGCTCTTCTCATCAGGGCTTGCAGTCCTCTCACCGGCTCTCTGGTTGCTGCCAAAATTCATTTCCTCCTCACTTCACACCAGCAACAGCACAGCAATCCATCTCATGCTTCAACTATCTCTGACCTCCCCTTGTGCACCAGGTGTAGAAAGATCTCCACCTTTAAGGGCTCATACGGTTCATTAGATCAGGTCCACCAGGTAATCTTCCTACCTTAAGGTCAATGGTGCCATTTAACATAACAATCACAGGAATGATATCTCATCAGATTCACAGAGGGGATGGGGTTTGGAATATTTGGGGGGTGGCATTTTTAGAACCAAATACCACAGCCATAAAACAAAACTGTAAAATTTAATTCAAAAAACACTTCTTACCTGTTAATAATGAACCATGCAACAGTAAGCATTCCTGCTAGCCATGTTCCACTCATAAGCCAACTTGTAACAAATAAAGCAGTAACATATATTCCTTGCAATCCAAAAACAATGCCAATGTAGAAATATACTGGCTCAATAATCTCCTAATTGTAAAAAAAAAAAAAAAGGAAGAGGAGATAACAGGACATTAAATAATTTTAATTATTTGCAAAATGTAAGAAAATAAATATTAAAGTCAAAAGAAAACATACATTGCTACCAGTTGCTTGATATAAAACACTGGCGATGAGTTCTGGATATAGAGACATTTGCTGCACTGCATTTATAGTCTTCAGAGATACAGTTTTGTTGTTGTGTGTCAATTCATAAACACCTAAAGACAGAAAAATTTTTCTCCAAATTATTTATTCTGCTTTTACAATAATTAAACCTGTCACTCAGAGGTCATTAAATATTTTAAATTATTGAAAATCTCAAAGTATAGTACACTGTGCCTCATTTTTCCTATGTTTTTATTAAGTATAAGAAAGAATAATATTTATATTCTAAGACAAATCTCCACATTAAAGGGCTCCCACATAGTAGAACAATGTTTTATTTTAGAAAAATGTTGTTATTAAAAATACAAATGTATAGGGGCGCCTGGGTGACTCAGTTGGTTAAGCAACTGCCTTCAGCTCAGGTCATGATCCTTGAATCCCAGGATCCAGTCCCACATTGGGCTCCCTGCTCAGCGGGGAGTCTGCTTCTCCCTCTGACCCTCCCCCCTCTTGTGCTCTCTCTCTCTCTCTCTCTCTCAAAAAAATACAAATGTGGGGGGCACCTAGCTGGCTCAGTTGGTAGAACATGCAACTCTTGATCTCAGGGTCCTGAGTTTGAGCCCTATGTTGGGGGTAGAGTTTAATTCAAAAAAAATAAAAAATACAAATGTGGTTATCATACCTCTTTCAAATGAGGGCGCTTTTAACATATCTTTATAATAAGAGTAATAAATGGCACTGTCACCTTGAAATGTGATTTCTCGTTCAAGCTCCTAAAAGAAAATGAAATGATTATTCAAATACCAGTATACTAAATTTCAAATGTAATCTTCTTTCTCCTCATCTTTAAATTAATGCTATTTACTTATCCTTTTATTCAAAGACATGTTTGAATTTTCCTTTAATCACTAGTGGTCACATTAAGGAGGTTAAACTTTTCAATAATCGGGCAATATTTTAATGAAACACCTAAGGTTTGGGGCACCTCGGTGGCTCAGTCAGTTAAGTGTCCAACTCTTGATTTTGGCTTGGGTCATGATCTGAGGATCCTAAGACTAAGCTCTGCATCAGGCTCTGTGCTCAGCGGAGTCTGCTTGAGATTCTCTCCCTCTCCCTTTGCCCCTCCCCCTGCTCATACGTGCACTCTCTCTCTCTAATAAATCAATCGATCGAAAAAAAAAAAAGAAAGAAACACCTAAGGTTTAAAATGGATTGTAGGGGCGCCTGGGTGGCTCAGTCGTTAAGCGTCTGCCTTCGGCTCAAGTCATGATCCCAGGGTCCTGGGATCGAGCCTGCATCAGGCTCCCTGCTCCTCGGAAAGCCACTCCCCCTGCTTGTGTTCCCTCTCTCGCTGTGTCTCTCTCTGTCAAATAAATAAATAAAATCTTAAAAAAAAAATGGATTGTAGCTCATAAGTCATTTACCTATTATATATAAGGAAAATCTAGAAGGAAAACCAGAAAAAATGCCCTAAGGATAGCAAGAATAAAAAATGATGGTTGAGGTGTTAAAGTCCATAATAAAAAAAGAAGTTTAAGAAGAAATCAGTATTTTCTATTGCTTATCCACTTCCTTATATATCCAGAACTGTAAGCCCTTAACTCTTTTCCAGAGCAACAGATACCTAATCAGTGCTTTTCAAAAGAACTTTCAGAAATATAACTAAATCTTAAGTTCCTAAAATTGGGCTATACAGGATGCTTGCATGGCTTAATCAGTTGAGCATCCAACTCTTGATTTCAGCTCAGGTCATGATCTCAGGGTCGTGGCTCCTGAGAGCCTCCCACATCAGGCTCCACACTCAGCAGGGAGTCTGTATGAGATTCTCTCCCTTGGCTCCTCCCCCCACACTCATGCTCTCTCTTTCTCTCACTCTTTAAAAATAAATAAATCTTTTAAAAAATTTTATTATAAAAAAATTGGGCTATACAGAACCAAGAATATACGTAATTCAAAAACACTGAAAAACCTTGTACATTTCATGACAAATCAAGCTTTTATAAATCTACAGTCTCTGAAAATGAAACTCCTTTATTGTCATGCATATTTATCAATTAATACAAAACAATAGATATCAGAGCAGTTTTTCTTAAGTTTGGTCAACAGAATTTCCTAAGACATAAATGGGAATTACCTAAAGAGTTCTATAGCTAAATAAGTTATGCAAAGACAGCATTAAAGAAAATTAATGGGTTTCTTTATTGTAAGACTTCTCAGAGTTTCAGTATACCTTATGCAACTGTGAATCTCCAAGAGGAAATCCTTCCTAGATCTATTTGACCAGTGAATTTTTTTTCCTCATTTAGAGCTTATTAATCGAAGTAAGTTTCCTTAACAACAAAAATCTGATAAATAAATTTCCTTAAAATGATTCTTTATGAATGGAAACATTCGTTTCTTTCTAAGATTTCAAAGATGTGAACTTTTGATTAATGCTTCTCAAATTTAATGTGCATATGAAACTCCTAGAAAAGATCTCTGATTAGATTCTGATTCTAAAGTGGGGCCTGAGAATCTGCAATTCTGAAAAAGCTCCCAGGTAAAGTCAATGTTCCTGAATCATACAGTGTTTTAAAAAACACAGTGTTTTTTGATGCATGCCTTCTATTATTTTTAAACCTTTGGTTGTTCTCAGTTCTGCCTACACAACAGAATTGCTTGGACATATTTTGAAACACTGATCCTAGACATTCCCTGCCACCCCACCTAAGAATCTGTGAGCTTTTTAAAAGCTCATCAGATGATTCTATTGTACATCCAGCATTGAGAACTACTAATAGTTATTAATATGCATAAAATTTTCAAGGAAATAGGATATGCTATAGTAATAGCTTTTGTCAAATCAATACAGGTAATTATTCAGCTAAATGTTTTGGTGGGATTAGGTCAATCAATGGCTTAAAAACAGTCAGTTGGCTTGACTACTGCTCAAAAATAAGAACAACAACAAAACAGTTTGGACTAAAAAAGAAAACAAAACTCTTTAGAGTCAAGTGATAACACTGTGAACCTTATCAATGCGTGAAAGATGTATCTGATTGTGAAGGGAAGTCTGAGAACAAATTTACTCAAAGGCTAAATTATGAATTATGTAAGTAACTATGGTGACTAAAGGGTCTGTGGAATACACATGATTTAAAACCAGACATTAAACATACTAATATGAAGAGACATCTTAATAAATACTGTCATGCATGTTAATCATTTCCATGCCCCCAAAACATTCTAATCATGTAATCTAAAAATTAAAATATTTTACTGCTGAAACTTCAACAGATTGTTTCTGAAATGTAAACTACGTAAACTACCAAAACTACTCAAAGTGTGACTAAACTCCGTAACATTTCACTGTCATCAAAAGCCCCTAATAAATTAGTTGCATGAAGGAAAGCACCCTCATAGTTTCTATTCCATGGCCTGGAAATACACTGTATTAAATTTTTCAAGGTTGATGCTGTGACTGTGTTCTCAAAATAGCTCCTGCACCATTTTGTTTCTAATGCCTGTAAATAAGAAAGCACTTGTCATACTTATCACACATATATTTTGGCTCCCTGGGAAAAACACATTACTTAGATTAAAATTAAATACTAAAACAACTTCCATATGCTCAAAATTCTTTCTTCTTACCTGCCTGTTGGAAAACCAGAATTTCCGTTCATGGTATGCTGATAAATAGAGAGCATACATCATACCACTAGTAACTGCTGCAAGACAGCCAATGAAAATCTTTGCAAAGCGCTGAAATAATACATCTGAAAAAGCATATTAAAAGTAATCAGATGTAGATGATATTTATATTAATGCACTTCTATTTTTAAAAAGTAATCAAAAGGTAGTATGTACCCTTGATAAGATGTGAGGAAAATGACATTCTAATTCTGTGTTCTTCCTCCCCAAAACCTATAACCCCAGTCTAATGAGAAAAACAGCAGACAAATTCTAATAGAAGGACATCCTAAATATACCTGACCAGTATTCCTCAAAACTGTCAAGGTCACTAAAAACAAGAAAAACCTAAAAAACTGCCACATCCAAGAAGAGTCTAAGGAGACATGCCAACTAAATGTCACGTAGGATCCTGGAATAGAAAAAGGACATTAGGTAATAACTAAGCAAATCTGAATAAAGTATGGATCTTATTTAAAAATAATGTATTAATATACCAATAATATTGGCTCATTAACTATAACAAAAATACCATACTAATATAAAATGTTAATAATAGGAAAAACTCTGTGTGTGGGCAGAGGGAGGGTGTAAGAAGGTAACTCTGTACTATCTGTCCAATTCTTCTGTAAATCAAAAAAGATTTCAAAAATTAAAGTCTATTAATCAAAAGAAAGAATAAAAGGAATGTACTAACAAACATCTAAAGAAAAAATACAGGCTCATTCAGAATTACTATCAACAGCTTTTCCTTATCAAGGAATTTTTTTCTTTATTGAGGAATAATTTACATACTATAGATTACAGCCACTTAAAGTATATATAATTCAATGATTTTTTATGATTATGTATTTAAAACATCATATGCAACTGTTATATATATGTAACTACTTCTTGATGAAATAATATAAAATACATGTGAATTTTCTACACACAGGGTGATTTAGTCCTGCTCTACTCTAGCTATTAGGTATAATAAGCACAGGCCTAAGGGCCCAAAGCCCAATGTTCTATTACCGAATGACTGACAGGTCCGTAAAACTCAACTTGCTGATTTATGAGCTTAGCTAAACTAAAATCTTAGCCATTTTCAAAATATTATTTAATAAATATTAGTTTTCATGGAACACTAGAGACATTAAATAGACTAAGTAGTTAGATATCACTAAGGCAGTAAGAATTACATTCAAAATGCTTGAAAAACAGTACCCAAAAATCAAATATTATTATCAGTAGGATAAAATTGTTTTAAAATTACTGTTTTCAATAGCATGTGTAAAGCATTTGGCCTGGCACATAGTAAGAGCTCAGTAAATACTAGCTATTACTGTTGAAATACAGAAGCATACATGCAAAAATATATAAGATAGTTAACTAAAGCAATGTTGACACAATATGAACTAAAAAAACTGGTAAAAAAAACTTATCAATGGTGGCAGTCTGGCAAAAGTGCTTCAAAGTTTCTGAAAGTGTATGTTTTCCTGTTTTGTTTTGTTTTTTTATTAAGTCTTAGATAATGGTAGATTAATCCTAATTATCAGTGGCTATTATAAAAAGTATGTAAACCAAATCCTACATATAAATGCCTTACCTTAATACTAAATATGTTGTTTTCAAAGTTTTTTGTGAAGAGTCAAAGATGGAATAAGAAAAAAAGAGCACTACATAAATATCAATACCAATAATACAGGGCATAGTTAAGTAATATTTAAAGCAAAGGAAGAAGCTAAGGACATGTTAGGAAAAGAAACGTAGGATTCAATTTCACAAAAAAAGTAAAAAAAAAAAAGTAAAGTATAAGTGCACTGAAAAAAATATAAGCAATACTTGCCAAAACTTTTAAAAGTAGTTCTATTGGAATTATTTATACATTTTATTTTTATTATACTTTTCTCTATTTTCCACATTTTCTACCCTAAAAATATTTTTGTATTCAGGGGGAAAATACTATTTTACAGTAGTTAGCTCTAGATTGTTTAATTATCTTTCTTGTATTGTATTTTCCAAAATGTTTTAAATGACCACTCTATTAGTAAGCTTTACTATGATAAAAAAAAAGTTATCCCAAATTATTAGTGGCTTACAAAATACAGGTTTATTTCTCACTTATGCTACTTGTGGGTTTTGGGTCTTCAGTGACTCTCCACCCAATTTCAGACTTCAGATTAGCTGTGGCTCTTCTATCTTCTTCAGAGTCCCAGATTGGGGCCAGTAGCTATTCTCATGACAGAGGATAAGAGCAGGAGAACAGGACACCTGGGTGGCCCAGTCTGTTAAGCACCTGCCTTTGGCTCAGGTTATGATCTCAGGGTCCTGGGATGGAGCCCTGAGTCAGGCTCCCCGCAGGGAGCTTGCTTCTCCCTCTCCCTCTGCCTGCCACTCCCCTTGCTTGTGCTCTCTCTCTTTCTCAGTCAAATGAATAAAAATCTTAAAAAAAAAAAAAAAAAAAGCAGAACAGGCAGAGCATACAATGCCTCTTATAGTTTCTGGTCAAAACTAGTACAGTGTTGCTTCCACAGACATTCCATTAGTCTAGGCAAGTCACATCAACAAGCCTGACAATGAGGAAGCAAAGTACACACTGCTTCAGAGACACACTCCAAATCACATGGCAATGGGAAGAAATGAATAATTCACTTTAGGGAAGGGAGCAAACATTTGCAAACAATAAAAGAGTCTACCAGGGTCTTCCCCATTCCTCACAAATACTCACTTCCCTCCCAAAGGCAAAACACACTCACTGCTTCTCAAGAAAGACACCCTAAGAGCAGCTTATTCAGCTTGTTTCCTGCATGTATATATCATTTTAAGACCTGAATAGTTATATCCTTTTTAATCTAGATTGACAGTTCTTTTAACAGTACATCTCTCTCAAAAACTTAGCAGGCAATTCTCTTATTTACTTAACAGAAATAAAAACAAACATCCACAAAAAGATCTGTAGAACTATGTTCATAGAAGCCTTATTCATAATAGCTAAATACTGAAAATTACTCAAATGTCCAACAAGAAGAGAATAGATAAAAAATTACAGCAACATGAATGAATCTCAGAATGATTATATTTTTAAAGGATAACATGCCGAGCTAAGTGAAAAAATCCAGACACAAAAGCATACATGTTGTATGATTCCATTTATACGAAATTCTACGACATGCAAAACGAATTAATAAGAAGAGTGGATGTTGGGACGCCTGGGTGGCTCAGTTGGTTAAGTGTCTGCCTTCGGCTCGGGTCATGATCCCGGGGTCTGGGATGGAGCCCCGCATCGGGCTCCCTGTTCAACGGGGAGCCTGCTTCTCCCTCTGCCTGCTGTTCCCTCTGCTTGTGCTCTCTCTCTCTCTGACAAATAAATAAATAAAATCTTTTAAAAAAAGAAGAGTGGTTGTCTTGGGGGGGGGTACAGGGAAAATCTTCAAGAGGATATAAAGAAACTTTCGGGGATAATAGAAATGTTCTGTATCTTGTTTCAGCTGCATTCCAGTGTCAAAACTCATTTAATTAAATGCCTAAGATTCTGTGCATTTTACTGTAAGCTAATTATACAGGTATACCTCAGAGATATTACAGGTTCAGTTCCACACCACTGCAATAAAACAGATATTACCATAAGCGAATTAAGTGAATTTTTTGGTTTACTGGTTATATAAAAGTTAAGTTTATACTACACTGTAACATTATGTCCAAAAAAAAAAAAAAAACCATACATATCTTATTTTAAAAAGAGTTTATTGCTAAAGTATGCTAACCATCACCTGAGCTGTCAGTGAATCATAATCATTGACCACAGATCACCACAACATATTATAATGATAAAGTTTGAACTACTGTGAGAATTACCAAAATATAACACAGAGATAGGAAATGAGCAAATGCGGTTGGAAAATGGTGCTGTTAGCCTTGCTCAACACAGGGTTGCCACTAATCTTCAGTTCGTTAAAAAAAAAAAAAAAAGATATCTGCAAAAAATAAAAGGAGGCATGCCTCTACCTTAATTTTTAAAAATTAAATTACTTATTCCTGCAAAGAAACGAACAATTTTGTCAGCTTTTTACCTACGTGATTCTAGTCAGCTCCATCCATGTTCCAACAACTATACAGAAGTCCTCTCCTGCCTTGTGTGCGGGGGATGTGTTCCGAGATCCTTAGTGGATGCCTGAAACTGTGGATAGTACTGAACCCTAGATACACTATGCTTTTTCCGATACATACATACCTGTCATAAAGTTTAATTTATAGACACAGTGAGAGATTAACAATAACTAATAATAAAATACAACAACTATAACAATATGTTGTAATAAAAGTTATGGGAACACAGTCTCTCTCTCTCTCAAAATATCTTACTGTACTGTACTCACCCTATTCCTTGTAATGATGTGAAATGGTAGTGATGAGATAAAGTAAGGAGAATGACATAGGTACCATGAAGTATGTTACACTACTATTAACTTTCTGACAACACATCAGAAAGCGGATTATCTGCTTCCAAACTGTGGTGAACACAGATAACTGAAATGATGGAAAGTGAAACCACTGCATGGGGGGACTACTGTACTGACAATTTTTTTTCTAGATGAGTCTCTGAAAAGGTTTAACTACATGTATTTTGATCTTATTAGGCTTCTGTGGAACCACACCCTATGTTATTTTCTAGGAAATACCTTCATCCATCCATATATTTTTAACAAACTCTGTGGGAGAGCCTTGCCCCTGATTTAGTCATTGCCTTGAGGATTCATCTTAGTCATCGTCTTTGTTGCTCAAAGTATTTCTCATTTTTCTTGATTTTATTAGCTAAAATAGACAGTTCTAACTCAATACTACAAGTCCCAGAAATTTTGGATTCCCTCTTTTCCTCTTCATTCCTGCTTGCAAATAGGCTAATTCTGTTCTAAATTCATCTCTTTCCTGTAATCAAATGCAGCTGATAACCAAGGCATTGTAGTAACATCCTGTTTTACAATCCTGTTACCTAAAGTAATAAAAAAGTAGTATTAAAATTGCAACTATTCACAGGATTTATCACTGCATAATATGGATTATTATTTTTCCAGCTTCCAAAAAACTTTCTTGCTGCTACCCCCAAGAACTAGCTCTGTAGATAACCCACTGCCTTTATCTTATTTGAGAAAAAATATGTAAACGGGCCCTCAGGGACGCTTGGGTAGCTCAGTCGGTTAAGCGTCTGCCTTTGGCTCAGGTTATAATCCCAGGATCCTGGGATAGAGTTCTGCATTGGGCTCCTTGCTCAGAGGGGAGCCTGCTTCTCCCTCCTCCTGCCGCTCCCCCTGCTTGTGCTCTCTCTCTCTCTTTCTCTCTGACAAATAAAATCTTTAAAAAATAAAAAATATATATAAAAAAATAAATGGGCCTTCAACTCTCTTCAACTCTCAGCGGGAAGCAATGAGAAGGCTGTTCAGCCCCTAAGGATGGCATGTTCTCCAAAGCCATCTTCATATATAGTTCAGTAGGATAATAGAAAAAGAAGGACCAGGGCGCCTGGGTGGCTCAGTCGTTAAGCATCTGCCTTCAGCTCGGGTCATGATCTCAGGGTCTTGGTGATGTCAGGCACCCTGCTCAGCATCGTGTCTGCTTCCTCTCCCTCTGCCCCACCCCCCAGCTCATGCGTGCATGCTCTCTCCCTCTCTCTCTCAAATAAATAAATAAAATCTTATTTTCTTTTTAAAGATTTTATTTATTTTTTATTTGAGAGAGACACAGAGAGAGGGAACACAAGCAGCGGGAGTGGGAGAGGGAGAAGCAGGCTTCCCGCTGAGCAGGGAGCCCGATGTGGGGCTTGATCCCAGGATCCTGGGATCATGACCTGAGCCGAAGGCAGACGCTTAACGACTGAGCCACCCAGGCGCCCCAATAAATAAATACAATCTTAAGGAAAAAAAAACACAAGGGGTGCCTGGGTGGCTCAGATGGTTAAGCGTCTGCCCTCGGCTTAGGTCATGGTCTCCGGGTCCTGGGATCAAGCCCTGCGTCGGGCTCTCAGCTCAGTGGGGAGTCTACTTCTCCCTCTCCCTCTGCTTCTCCCCCTGCTCATGTTCTCTCTATATATATCTCTCTGTCTCAAATGAATAAAATCTTTAAAAAAGGGAGAAAAAGAGGGGCGCCTGGGTGGCTCAGTCGTTAAGTGTCTGCCTTCGGCCCAGGTCATGATCCCAGGGTCCTGGGATCGAGCCCCGCATCGGGCTCCCTGCTCTGCAGGAAGCCTGCTTCTCCCTCTCCCACTCCCTCTGCTTGTGTTCCCTCTCTTGCTGTGTCTCTCTCTTTAAATAAACAAAATCTTTAAAAGAAAAGAAAAGAGAGAGAGAAAGAAAAAAAAACAAACCAACTCTGCGCAGTCATTAATGAGCTTCCGTGGTAGATAAAACTTAACAAATGTCACAATTTGATGCTGAAGGAGTTAAGCACATCCTGTGTGACTCCATTAGGAAAAGAATCAGTGAAGCTTATGCCTAGTTTCTTACAGATTTTAGCCCTAGGTCTTTTCCTTTTGCTGATTTTGTTTTGTACTGTTCACTATAATAAGTCATTGCTGTAAATATTCTGAGACCTGTGAGTCCTTCTAGCTAATCACCAAACATGGGGGTGGTCTTGGGGACCCCTGACACAGAGCACAAAACTTACCTTTTTAATTTATAGATATCTGGACTAGAATGAATCATACCTGGCCCTGATGTAGATAAGAAGACCTTGGGCCTCAAGACTGCTGCCAGGACTGGGTAAGACTGAGTATCTTCCTTGGGGCCAGAGAGATAGTGAGTGTATTTTGTTTGAGGGAGAAAAGTAAATATTTATGACCAAAAGGAAAGAATGTGGTAGAATGTTACATTATTATTCCCACTTATTTTATCCTTTCCTATAAAAAGATTATTCATCTCTGCCCACTACCATGTGACTTGCAACGCTTCCCTGTAGTCAAGGTATACTTCTCCATCTCTTCCCTGTAGTCAGGGTATATTTCTCCATCTCACTGTCTGGATTGATTATATGACTTCCTTGGGTCAACAGAATATGAGTACAAGTGACAAAGTGCCAGCTCAGCAGAAAATTTAAGAGACACGGCATGACTCTGCCTGTTCTCCTGCTCTTTTCCTCTGTCTTAAAAAAAATGTCGCAAGTAGGGGCTGTTCCTTCATGACACATCAAGCTACACCAGCCAACCTGAAGCCACAACATGGAACATTAGTCAGAAATAAGTGTTTTTTGTAAGCCAGTGAGATTTAGGGTTTGTTCTACAGCAAAACCAAAGTTGACTGATAATACCATGTAATTAATCTCAGAAAAGGTATACACATTTAAAATATTAATACAAGGGGCGCCTGGGTGGCTCAGTCGTTAAGCGTCTGCCTTCGGCTCAGGTCATGATCTCAGGGTCCTGGGATCGAGCCCCGCATCAGGCTCCCTGCTTGGTGGGAAGCCTGCTTCTCCCTCTCCCACTCTCCGTTTTTGTGTTCCCCCTCGCACTGTGTCTCTCTCTGTCAAATAAATAAATAAAATCTTAAAAAAAAAAAGTTGATAAAATATTAATACAAAATATAATACCTAGCATATAAAAAGTCATTTTTGTAGTAGCACAAAAACTCCAAATTTATCTAACTTACGTTTTGGAGCTCTTTCAGGAATTGGAGTGTCACTGATTTTCTCTTCTTTGACAGATTCCTTATTTTCTGAAGACTTCAGCTTTTTTCTTTGGCGCAGTTCTACTGTTGGTCCTTCAAATATTTAAGACATTATTGCAACACGTGTATCAAGTTGTTCTAATCTATAACCCAAACTTTTATTATACTAAGGCAAAAGTCACATAGAGAACTTTCAGTATCAAAGATACCTTTTTTCACAATTAAATAAATAATTCATTTAGACAGAAAGACTGTCTTTCATACAAAAAAAAAAATTAGGTTCTCCCTTCCACCTGTGCTTTCAGAGTCCTATTGATAAACAAACAAGCTCTTCTCCTGAGATAATGTTATTTTCAAAATATCCCAAAATAAGTAAACCCCCTTCCGGAATGACTGGGGAACAAGGTGTTATTTAATACATTAGCGCATTATTCTAGTTACCTGAGAATATCACACTCATGATTCAACGATTAACAATTTTTTAAAAATCTGAATATAATAAAATATATTGATCATAAAATTATACTTCATTTTTAAAACAATCCTGCAAGTTCTGCAGAATTTCACAGTGCTGTGTTATTATCATTGTACAGTCTTATAATTTAGATATGTGAAATAGGCATACCCCTATATGTGGAAAACTGTCAGAAAATTTCCCAATGTTAGACTACCCTTTTATGTCTAATAAAAAATGTAAAGCAGAAAGTACCTCCAAGGGGCGCCTGGGTGGCTCAGTCAATTAAGCAACTGCCTTCAGCTCGGGTCATGATCCCAGGGTCCTGAGATCGAGCCCCACATTGGGCTCCCTGCCTGCTTCTCCCCCTCCCTCTGCCGCTCCCCCTGCCTGTGCTCTCCTGCTCTGTCAAATAAATAAATAAAATCTTAAAAAAAAAAAAAAAAAGTACCTCCAAACCAGTAAGCTGAATTCCAAATGAAACAAAAATTTACTATATTCAAACCTAACTACTTTTCCTTCCTAGAGTTAATTATCTCTCTCTTTTTTTTAAGATTTTATTTATTTGACAGAGAGAGCGAGCACAAGCAGGGGGAGCAGCAGAGGGAGAAGCAGGCTCCCCACTGAGCAGAGAGCCTGATGCCGGGCTCAATCCCAGGACCCTGGGATAATGACCCGAGCCGAAGGCAGACGCTTAACCAACTGAACCACCCAGGCACCCCCTCTTTTTCTTTTCTTTTAAGCAGGCTCCACACCCAGCATGGAGCCCAACGCAGGGTTTGAATTCATGACCCTGAGATCAAGACCTGAGCTGAGATCAAGAGTTAGATGCTTAACCAATTGAGCCACACAGGTGCCCCCAGAATTAATTATCTTATAAGGGTAGACTATGACTGTCATGTTGGTACAAACTGTCCTGCCAAGCTTATAAGGTGGTTCAAGAATTTATTTCCTCCTTACTGGAGCAGAGGAGAGTTTTCTCTTTTCTTTTAGGGATGACCTTAAGCTATGAAATGTGAGCCTAAAAAGAGAAGTCAAAAAAGGAGAATGAATCCGCTGCTGCTGATCAGATGGAAGGATTCTAGCTTTACCATGGAAAATGAAAAAACAACTCTATATTTTTTTAATATAATTTTTTTTAAAGATTTATTTATTTATTTGAGAGAGCAAGAATGAGAGAGAGTACATGAGAGGGGGTAGGGTCAGAGGGAGAAGCAGGCTCCTCGCTGAGCAGGGAGCCCGATGCGGGACTCGATCCTGGGACTCCAGGATCATGACCTGAGCCGAAGGCAGTTGCTTAACCAACTGAGCCACCCAGGCGCCCCAATTTAATTTTTTTTTAGTAATGTCTATACCCAATGTGGGGCTTGAACTCATGACTGTCAAGATCAAGAGTCACATGCTCTTCCAACTGAGCCAGCCGGGCCCTCCCTAAAAAGGATATTTTTTAAAATAGCTTCAAAGCAAACTCAAGTTTGCTAAAATATCTTTAAACACTGGCATTGTGATTAAAAAATAATAACTGTATATTTAGTGGATTCAGTCTGGTCTAATTTTTAACCATTTCTAAGCTATCATTTATTTTGTAATTGTCTTAAGTACTGAAGCCAGTGAACAGATTAGAAAATAACATTATTATTAGAAAAGCCATGCCTCAGATTTTGAGTTCTTTTTTTTTTAATTTTAGAGAAAAAGAGAGAGAGAGAGCATGTGTGTGCACAGTGGGGGAGGGGCAGAGAATCTCAAGCAGACTCCATGCTGAGCATGGAGCCCAACGCGGGGCTCAATCCCGTGACCCTGAGATCACAACCCCAGGTGAAACCAGGAGATGGACACCCAACTGACTATGCCACCAACACCCCAGATTTTCAGTATTTTTGCATACAAATCTGGGTCACTTAATAAATACTACTATATTTCTTTTTCATGATGCCTTTTTAATTGCTCTGGGATAAAGCAAAAGTTAAAAACACCCAACAAAAATGAGGATTAGGGGCACATGCACCCCAATGATTACAGTAGCAATGTCCACAATAACCAAAAAAAGGAAAGAGCCCAGATGTCCATTGACAGGTGAATGGATAAAGATGTGGTGTGTATACACACACACACACACACACACACACACACACAGGAATATTACTCAACTATCAAAAAGCATGAAATCTTGCCATTTGCAATGACGTGGCTAGAACTAGAGGGTATTATGCTGACCGAAATAAGTCAGTCAGAGAAAGACAAATATATGATTTCACTCTTTTGTGGAATTTAAGAAACAAAACAGATGAACATAGGGGAAGGGAAGGAAAAGATAAGGTGAAATCAGAGAGGGAGACAACCCATAAGAGACTCTTAACTACAGGAAACAAACTGAGGGTTGCTGGAGGGGAGGTGGCTGAGTGGATGCAGTAACTGGGTGATATAACCCCAAGAAGTTTACTCAGTCATTACACTTACAAGATCACACACATTGATAGTATTGAAATTTTTTTTGAAAATTTAACTGGATAATTTCAGAAAGCAAGCTAACAAATCTGTTAAGGTAGTTTACAAATGGTTTAAGTAGGTCTTTTTTATTAGAGGTTAAAAGCACACATTTAAGATAAAGATAGATTGGAAAGGGGATATCACATAGAAAGTGTTCTTTATAAAAAGCTATCATTTTCCTTTTTAAAAAATTTCCTTAGGGGCGCCTGGGTGGCTCAGTTGTTAAGCGTCTGCCTTCGGCTCAGGGCACAATCCCAGGGTCCTGGGACCAAGCCCCGCATCAGGCTCCCTGCTCCGCGGGAAGCCTGCTTCTCCCTCTCCCACTCCCACTGCTTGTGTTCCCTCTCTGGCTGTCTCTCTCTCTGTCAAATAAATAAATAAAATCTTAAAAAAAAAATTTCCTCATAAAATCAATCACTTTACAGAGACATTAAAGTGTTCTCTTAGTACATATAAATGGATTTTATTTATAGAAGTAGAGCTTATACAAAAATTTTGCACAGATTCCCAAATAATTTGGGGTGCCTGGGTGGCTCAGTCGTTAAGCGTCTGCCTTCGGCTCAGGTCATGATCCCAGGGTCCTGGGATCGAGCCCCGCATGGGGCTCCCTGCTCGGCGGGAAGCCTGCTTCTCCCTCTCCCACTCCCCCTGCTTGTGTTCCTGCTCTCGCTATCTCTCTCTCTGTCAAATAAATAAAATAAAAATCTTAAAAAAAAAAAAAATTCCCAAATAATTCATAAAGCCATCTTTCCAGAATCTATATTAGCAACAATCAAGGGCCATACAAATAAATTATCTATAAAGGATCTATAACACTATATCTTTTTGGTTCTAAGATGCTATACATTTTAAGATATTGAGCAGGTATCTTGGGGGTTTTGGGCTTGTTTGTTTTTAAAGATTTTATTTATTTATTTGAGAGAGAGAACAAGCAGGAACGAGGGGCAATGGGAGAGGGAGAAGCAGACTCCCTGCCGAGCCGGGAACCCAACGCAGGGCTTGATCCCAGGACCCTGAGATCATGACCTGAGCAGAAGGCAGATGTTTAACCATCTAAGCCACCCAGGAGCCCAGTTTGTTTGTTTTTGGTTTTTTTTAAGATTTTATTTATTTGACAGAGAGAAACACAGTGAGAGAGGGAACACAAGCAGGGGGAGTGAGAGAGAGAGAAGCAGGCTTCCTGCTGAGCAGGGAGCCCGATGCGGGGCTCGATCCCAGGACCCTGGGATCATGACCTGAGCCGAAGGCAGACGCTTAACGACTGAGCCACCCAGGTGCCCCTTGTTTTGTTTTGTTTTTTTAAGTACGCTCCCTGCCCAGCATGGAACCCAATGCAGAACTTGAACTCATGACCATGAGATCGAGACTGGAGCTGAAATCAAGAGTCAGATGCTTAACCAACTGAGCCACCCAGGTGCCCCTAAGCAGTTTTTCAAAGGGGGGGGGAAACACTACCATATTAAATGTATGAATTGATTTTAAGACATATTGGTTTCAGTGACATTAAATTGGGGGAGCAAAAAGTACAACCTAGGAAATACAGTATTCATTTTAGCCAATCTCTTCAACCTTGTCCCTCACAAAAAACTGAGGTTGGGGGGCGTGTGGGGGAGGCCTCTGGGTGGCTCAGTCAGTTAAGCCTCTGACTCTTGATCTCAACTCAGGTCTTGATCTCAAGGTCATGAGTTCAAGCCCAGCGTTGGGTTTTTAAAAAAAAAAATTTTTTTTTTTTTTAATTTTTTACCTGTCACCAAGAAACAAAACTGACTAGATCCAAATTTCACCTCCTTTCCTTTATACTGATCTCATAGCTTCATAATTGGAAGACAAAACCAGGAATCCCCAGGTGGAGAAGCAGCAAAGGCCAAAGCCATGAATGATGCCGATTAACTGATAGGAAAGTTCTAGGACAGATTTTAAGTTTCCTTTTCCTTCTTGTATCTTTAGCATTGTAAAGAAAAAGTCAAACTAAATGAAAATGATAACATAACCACAAAAATAACCTGCCATTTCCAGGTCTGGTCCAATGATCTTCACATGAGATCATTAGCAGAGCTACAAATAGACCTGCAAATGTCCATCCAGACAACACACAGCAATTTCCAAATGTAGTGTTAATACTGCTGTACTCAAGGTGGTCACTTCTTTCTTTGCTCTAACATTTCTTTCAGAAAGGATAAGTATGAACAATCTGACCCTCTACTGCAACAAGGAAGACATTTTGTAAGATGACATTCTCAAAAAATTATTTACCTGGAGTAACAGTGGGACAATGAAGAGGACCCAAATGAATGTGAATGATAAGCAAAAAAGGGATATAGGGGTAAAATAGACCATTTAGTCTAATTTTAAGATAATATGTATTTGGAAAAGTGCCAAATAAAACAAATGTAAAGCACTCAGAATAATGCCTAGCACATAGACATGTTTGCTATTATCATTACTAGCATTATTATAATAAGTAAGACTGTAATTACTCATTCATTGTTGACTATTATTATATCCCACCACCTAACACAGTAGGCACCCAAATGTTTATGGAATTAAAAAATTGCTGAATGAAACTATATTTTAACAAAACTTCAATACATTAGTTGTTCTATATAAGATGTATTTGCTTTTGCTTTTGGATTATCAGTAATTCTACAACCAAAACCACTTTTCTTTTTTTTTTTAAAAGATTTTATTTATTTGACAGAGAGAGACATAGTGAGAGCTGGAACACAAGCAGGGGGAATAGGAGAGGGAGAAGCAGGCCTCCCACGGAGCAGGGAGCCTGATGTGGGACTCGATCCCAGGAACCTGGGATCATGACCTGAGCCGAAGGCAGACGCTTAACAACTGAGCCACCCAGGCGCCCACCACTTTTCATTTTATATCCCATAAATAAATTTCACAAAATGGTATGGTCTTTTTAATTAGTTCCACATCACATTGCTTTAATTAAGTGTAACTATAATCTCCTAAAACAATTTCTCATTTTGTATGATGCATATTAAAGACTTTTAGTATTGCAGTATTTTTTTTCATGCTTTAGCTTAAGCATGAAAGTGTTAATGGAAACATACAAGCTAGCTTATCAACCTACTCCACAGATTTGCAACTATTCAGAAAAGGAAAAAATATCAAGAAATGTTTTAAACTACTCCAATCAAAGATAAAACCAAGGTAATAAATGGAATTAAATTCTTCCTCACCAACTACAAATAGCCATTGGTTTTGACGTTGTTTTTGACGTTGTTTTTAGGTAGAGTGTCTTAAATTTAGATCAGCTTTAACACTCTGAAAACTCAATAAAGAGAAGGCAAATATGAGGCCAGTGTGAGCATAGGGACAAGCAGCAAGCCAAAGAGCAGAAAACAACTGTTTAAAAATTGCTTTCCGGGCGACTGGGTGGCTCAGTCGTTAAGCGTCTGCCTTCGGCTCAGGTCATGATCCCAGGTTCCTGGGATCGAGCCCCACATCGGGCTCCTGGCTCCGCGGGAAGCCTGCTTCTCCCTCTCCCACTCCCCCTGCTTGTGTTCCCTCTCTCACTGTGTCTCTGTCAAATAAATAAAATCTTAAAATAAATAAATAAAAATAAATTGCTTTCCACTGAATTCTTGAAATTCCCTCCTTGCATTCCTGGTTCAATAAGGTTTAAATCTAAATGAGATCACATTCACAACGGCACTCAAGAAGGTAAAAAGTTGTATTTCCCACCAGAATGCAAAATCTAACTGCTCTGTCAAGCGACACCATCATATATACCTGTTCCTGAAACTAGCACGGGTATCATGAAGTTATTATGCATGCCATGAATGTTTCCTGTAATATCTATCGCTAGCTGATAAGTTCCTCTAACTCCCCATTTTTCTCCCATACCTATCATTTTCTATGAATAAATATTACTGAAGGGATTAATTTTCTTCGCATTGGCCCTGTGGGGGCATGGGAAGATTTGTCTAGACCACCCACTTTCACGCTCAAAGCACTCCTGGCTTCCTAATCCTCCCAAACTACTTACAGCCCTCAGCCCTTTGCCATCTCCCCCTAACCTATAAATGAAGTGGCCTTCTTCAGTTTCCCCTCCCAATTCACCTTAACCCTGTTTACCCCAAATTCCTGCCTCTTTCTATACCCGCGGCGTGAGGCTTCTCCCCCCCCGCCCCGCCCCCGTGACTTTGTATTTGTCGGTATCCACAGACCTCTGAAGAAGGCACTCAGAATGAGGGGCATTTGGTTAAACACTATCACTTTCAAATATGCACTCAGTAACTAAGCCTCCATCTTCTAACCCCCCACCCCATTAATTGTCTGCTAGTAGCCCTCCCCCTCAAACAGTACCCCCTCCCCCCGCAACACACACACACACACACACACACACACACACACACACACACACAGAGCCTTTTCTCTCCCTACCCCATTCCCAACTTTAAGCTCCACCTTTGCTTCCCACTCAGGCAGACAAAACTTCGGGCCATTCACTCCGCTCCTCAACATCCCCGCGCCGCCGCCGCCCCGCTCCTTCCCGGCTCCCACGCAGCCACCCGCGCGCAGCCGCGGCCACTGACCGCCCGCAGCCCAGGCCTCTGGGCCCCTCGCGCCCCCGCCCCTCTTTCCCGAGATCACGGGCGACAGTTGGCGCGCTGGACCCCGGGGCCCTCACCTTCTTCCTCCGCCATCGTCTCCGCGGAGGCCCGGGCGCCCCTCCGGGTCCCGCGCGGCCCGGAGTCTCCGGCCCTCCGCGTCGCGAACCCCTCGGCAGCCCCAAGACCACTCCCGGCCGCCGCGCCCCCACTTCCTGACCCGCCCCCCTCCGGTGTCGCCGCCAACCGCGTCCCGCCCGGCGGCCCAGGAACCAGAGAGCCGGCAGCGGAGGGCGGCCGGAGCGTTTTGCTGGCGCGCCTCGGCCTACGCGGGCAGGAAGGAGACTCGACGACGCGGGTGGCACCGCCCACGGCCGGCGCTCCCGGCAGCCTCTCCCTTTCGCCGGCTCTTCCGAAAGCTGGGAGTCCAGCGGGCCCTCCGCGGCTGTTGTCGTTCGACTCAGTCAGAGAATAGCATCAGTGTCATCTTCCAGATCCAAACCCCAACCGCGCCCCATGTGACGGAGAGAAAGCTGAGGTCCAGCGAGGTGTTGGTCACGAAGCGGGCGCAAGCCTGAGCTGGAGCCCGCGGCTCCGAACTCCTCTCGGTGCCTGCGTGCTTGGTGATTTCAGGAGAGCCGCAAAATGCTCTGGGTGGGCACTCTGGTTTCGTAGGCCACTTTAGATTGCAAGATCATTACAAGAAAGAAGCTTCTACTTGGAACTTAAGATTTCAGAACTACCCAAACTGGTTAAACACATACATTTGCATTTCATGATATTATTTAGAGAAACAGTAATACTTATGGTCAATGCGGGGAGCGGGATGCATTTAGATATTCCACAGCAGCGGAACATAGTTTTAACTTGTTACACTTTTTATACCCTAGCTTGTATTACCTTGGGCATTCTCCAACAAATACCAGGAACTTCTCTCCAACAATATTCAGAAGCAGATTTAGGAACAGACAAAATGCTCATTACATTTTTTTTTTTTAAAGATTATTTATTTTACAGAGAGAGAGAGAGAGAGCACAGGCAGGGGGAGCGGCAGGCAGAGGGAGAGGGAGAAGCAGGCTCCCTGCTGAGCAAGGAGCCCAATGCGGGGCTTGATCCCAGGATCATCACCCCAGCCGAAGGCAGCCTTTTAAACGACTGAGCCATCCAAGCGCCCCCAAAATGCTCATTTTGGAGTGAGAGAAAAAAGCGCAAGAAATCACTGAAGTCACTGAAGTCACGGGGTAATTATGGATGTCCCATTCTTAACAGGCAGCAAGATTCTCCTAATAGCACCTTTGTCACGTTAGGATATTTGGAGAGAAGCTATCGCTTTTCAGTGCTGTGCAAAAACAGTTCCAGGAACTCTTTTTATGCCTTTGGCTGCCTGTAAATACGTCTTGCCCTTAAACAACACTGGGCCAGGAGTTAGAAACACGGTGGAGGTTGCCAGTAGACCAGAAAAGACCTGGATCAACGCAGAGAACAGACTGTATGGACCTTGAAAATCGTAAGATATGTTAGGACCCAGGGTAATGGGCAGTAGATAGCAGTTCCTCCTTATCAGATGACCTTAACTGTAAGAGCTCCACCTCATGGGGAACAATATAGTGGCCACTGAGGGCCACGGTTTTCCAAGTCAAGAGTCTTAAAGTGATGCCCATTTTCTTAGAGTTCCTTCGTAATCACCTCAAGGTGACGATGGGCTTAATTGCAAATGTGCCTGCTCTAAACAGTAGTGGGTAGAGAGGAAAAATAGCCTCTTAAACTGAAACGGAATTATGAAAGAAGAAAGATCATTATTCAACCTTTAGATAGAAATCAGTGGACTCATGATTGTGTTCTGTAGTAGAAACATTGTTCCCTTGAATCCTGAAACTTCCACAAAGGATAATGAGAGTGGAACATTCTGTTTCCCCCTAATCTCTCATTTTGCTCTGAGAGAAATAGGCTATTTTTCCCAAAATATATACATAATCCCAAAAGATAGAACCCTAAGTGCTCAAGATGTTGCCTTGCAGCAGGCATTACACCTGAGTTTTCAGTAGGTCAATCCATAATCCTCTAATACCAGCTGCTTCCAGATGGCGGTGGGCATAAGTCGTGGATGCATGGTCCAAAGATCACTTCTAATGATAACTTGATTATTTTACCACTGCAATCATAGACTGCTAGTTTCCAGCCCAAAATTTGAAGGGTCCTTTCATTGCCTTTTGCCTCACCTTGACCTAAAGACCTCTCATTTTCTCAAATGGTCTTTCATTTACAATATGCTCTCAAAGAAACAGTATGATTTTCTGCCACCTCTGGAAGTATGAGGATCCCTTCTCTATGCAATGGATATTTTTAGGGAGTGATATAAAATGTTCTTTGTTTTAAGAAGTTAAGTCATGGAAATGGAGCTTAGGAGGCTATTGTAGTAAACTGGGTAAGGAATAAAGACTTGGAATAAGGTCATGGAAATACAAATGTTCAAGGAGAATGGACACAAAGGATGCTGGAGATAAAATCTACAGCACCTGATGACAAATTGGATGTGATACATGATGAGTTGAAGATGATTCCTGAGGTTCCTATCTTGAAATTAATCATGTGCTTTTTGTATGCCAAGTATAGTGTGCTGCCAAGATATGAGAAGAATATAAAATAAAAGCCCCTGAGGACTTACCTACTTGAAACCAAAAAAAAAAAAAAAATACAGGCAAAGTCTATTTCAAAAACATCCTTCTATCAAATGTTTCATCTTATTAGTAACAGAACAGAATTAGTAAATCTTTGCATCAATTCAGCTTTTCTCCTGTTAAAGACATGGAATTTTATTTTATCTTTATTATGTAATAAAGCCTTAGTTATCCATTGGTTAACAACATATTTATATTATTCTCAGACACCATCTCTTTTGTGAAGTCCGAACCAAATGCGATCAATTTGTTTTTGAAAACATGTAACACCCTTACTGCCATTATATTCTGGCTTGTATTTTGGTCATGTTTGATCCTCATACTTTCAAGTCTTTGAAAACACATTATAGACAAATATTTTGAGAATTGACTTAAAAGTTGATAATAGCAAGTATCAGCTGTAAGTGGGACTTAGAAGACCAACATAAATCGTGTTTTCTGCACTATCCATGAGAACCATCCCTTGATTTTTTTTTTAAGATTTTTTATTTATTGGGGCGCCTGGGTGGCTCAGTCATTAAGCATCTGCCTTCGGCTCAGGTAATGATCTCAGGGTCCTGGGATCGAGCCCCTCATCGGGCTCCCTGCTCAGTGGGAAGCCTGCTTCTCCCTCTCCCACACTCCCCCTGCTTGTGTTCCCTCTATCGCTGTGTTTCTCTCTGTCAAATAAAT